TATTTTGAGCATTTTGAGGAACCTCCATACTGCTTTCCACAATGGTTGAACTAATTTACATTCCCACCAGCAGTGTAGGAGGGTTCCCCTTTCTCCACAACCTCACCAACATTTGTTGTTGTTTGTCTTTTGGATGGTAGCCATCTTTACTGGTGTGAGGTGATACCTCATTGTGGTTTTAATTTGCATTTCTCTGATAATTAGCGATGTGGAGCATCTTTTCATGTGTCTGTTGGCCATCTGTATTTCTTTTTTGGAGAACTGTCTGTTCAGTTCCACTGCCCATTTTTTAATTAGGTTAGTATAAATCTTTTTATTCTTATGTCAGTAGTGAAATATGAAGTCAATTTAAAAGTAAATGATTTCACTAGTCATGCCAAACACTCAAATGATACTAAAAATCTATGGTGGCAGGTCTGTGGGGATTCATTATACTATTCTAATTTTGCATATGTTTGAAGTATTCTACAATAGGTTTTAAAAAATTTTACTAGACTTCATTTTTAGAGCAGTTTAGGTTCACAGCAAACTTAATTGAAAGTATAGAGTTCTAATATCCTCCCTGCCCCCTCCAACAACCTCTCCCACCATCAGTACCCTGTGCCATAATGTTTTTTTTTTAATCCAGTCTTTAAATCAGATTTAGATGATAGATGTTTTGGTTATCTATCAAGCATATAGTGTGTAATTTCACCATTTGTTTGGCATTTTGCTAAGTCTCAAGGCTATATAGCAAAATAGACACAGTCCCTGCCCTTATGTTTATAGTTTAGTGGGAGAGAGAGCTATTAAATAAATGATCTTACAAAAAGCCTATTTACAAACTGTGAGGAGGAAAAGCAGAACATACTACAAGTATGTTTACTAAGAGAACTGCCTTAGTGTGGGAGGTCAGGATTTCCCAGAGGAAACCAGCAGGTAAACTGCGATCTGAAGGATAATCAGGAATGAACTAGGCAAAGTGACAGAGGAAAGCGTTTTAGATAATGTTTTCAAAGGTTTTAAGACAAGAAAGAACCTGACATACTTCAGGAGCTGAAAGTTGGTGGACAAAGAGAGAGAGAGACGAGGCTAGAGACAGGTAGGTCAGTACACATGGGTGCTGTAAGCTGTGTTAAAGTATTATCTTTGTCTTTACCCTGTGATGGGAGATGGGATGGGTTTTACATAGGAGGAGACATGAATGGATTTTGTTTTAAAAGGGCCTGACTGCATGATGGGGAATGGATGGAAGTGAAGTAAGAGCAGAACTGGGGACACTTGCTAGGAAACTACTGGAATAGACCCAGAGGTGATGGTTGTATAACAGAGAAGTGGATGGGCACCACTACCATTCATGAGGTGAAAGCAGTAAGATTTGGTGTTTGCTTTGAAAAGGTAGGAGAATGCTATGTTTCTAGGCTTGCAAAACTGGATAAATTATGGTGCATTTACTGAGATGGGAGTAGGGGTGAAGAAAAGATCAGGATTTTACAAGGGCTTTATTGCTATTTTTTTCTACTCCAAATAATAACTACCCTGTGCTAGGCACCATGCTAGGTGATTTACGTTCAGTATTCTAGAAGTCCTTTTATCTGAAGCAATAGGGATTGGCATCCAGCAGGTTGATTCCTGTACTACCACAGCTCAATGTACCTTAAGAGACTATATTTACTGTCCTCTGTTATCATTTCAAGTGCACATTGTATATTACCTATGCATAGCCCACTAGCATATGGATATCTGAAGCTCTAAGTATCATTTCCAATTTTCTTCCCAATTATTTTCTCAGGTGACTCACTGGGAAACTCCCAAACCTTCTTCTTCTCTCAATGCTATAACTGCTCCATGGTAACTTGTTTAACAGGTATGTTTAGGCATCTTTCTCCTCCCCCTCCATAGTCAGTTTAAAGTCCTCTTGATCAGAGCAGGTGGTCACTGGAAAACATGTTCTCAAACCATACATGGTGGAAGTTCATCTCTGATTCATTATCTCAAATCCTCCATCCCATTGAGCATTACAGTTGTATCCCTCCCTGGCCTCACTTCTCTTCCTAAGGCACTGCAGTGATTTGCCAACTGTTACAGGGAGCAATCCCCAAATTCTCACCTTCCATCTCAAAGCCCTTATTAGAATAGACTATGGCATTATTTATATCTTCTCCTTATTCTAGACTGCCTCTTCTATTTCTCTGAGGCCCTTCTGTTATTGGTTCTCTTTAATAGCAATCAAGAGTATACAGGATGTCTTTAGATATATATATATGGTTGTGTATGTTGCCATACATGTTGTTTCTTATATGTTGCTCTTTAATCCCCAAAACACCTCTCCCATGCCTGTCCTATAGTAGTCATCTAAATATTTGTTGAATTAATGAATGAACTGTGTTGCTGGGAAAGCAAAGAATGCCTTATTTGGAGGGAGTTCAGGCCATACTTTATTTTTTAAGATGAGTTTTAAATGTTTTTTGAATTTTCATTAGTAGTAGCTCATCTATAACCTATTACTATTAAACTATTGATTCATTTATTAGTGTAACTCATTCTGTATGAATGACTGCACTATAAATATGAACCTGACACTCTCAAGTGAAGTATTGTTTAACTCAGAGGTAAAGTTATATCAAAACACCACTAAAAAATAA